TTCTATTTTTAGTAGAGATGGAGTCTCGCTCTTGCTCAGGCTGGTTTCGAACTCCTGAGCTCAAACAATCCGCCCGCCTCAGCCACCCAGAGTGCTAGGATTACAGGCGTGAGCCACCGCGTCCGGCCCTTAAAGTAGTTTTGATTCCAGTCAAACACTGAAAGTAATTACTACATGCTCAACTTTGTTTGAGTAGCTAGTAACAAATAAGATATGGCTCATCTTCTAGGAACTCATGACAAGAAACACTTTTAATAAAACATTTACAAGGTGGTAAGTTCTATGGCAGATATCTTCACAGGGTCCCACAAGCATCTGGCCAGGCCTAGAGCATGTGAGTGTAAACAGGTGTGAACTGGGGTGGAGGAAGTGGGGTGCAGTTTGGAAAGGTTTCCTAGGGATGAAGACTAAGCAAAATTAGACAGAAACTCTCATGACAAAGCAGGGAGAAATTCTAAGTGGTTTAGCCTTGCTGAACCACAAAATATAAAATGGAAAGGAGTAACAGGCAAAGTGCCTGGAAAGAGGAATGAATTTAACTCAATAAATAATGAGAAGTCATCAAAGTGTGGGGGAAGGCAAAGGAACGAGGTGGTCACATTTGTGCTGCAGATCAATGACCCTGATAGAGGAGAGAACAGATGATGATAACAGCCTGAAGTAAGGCAAGAGAAACTGGACACAACCATTTAGGAGGTAAGACCTTTTACTGAGCACCTACCATGTGCCAGGTAGCCAAGTGCTAATGTAAAAGAAAGCTTTTGTATCAAGAAAATGCATCCTATGAATGAATTTATAATATTCTACACTAGGAATCTACAGCATATTAGAACCATTCGTTTGTCTTATATTTACTAAAATCTTCAAAGATTGCCTTACTTCTAAGATTTAGTGAATAAATCCCTATCTTACCCTATCCTCTGATGTAACAATCTGATCACAGCCTTTCACTGTCTTTATTCTTTCGATCTTTCCTAGGGCCTTTATAGTTTGTTTAGTTTTGACATGGTACTTTCTACCACCCTCAAATCACTTCAGTTGCCACTTATTGTGTTATTAATAAGTGCCTCCTTTTTTCCCCCAGCCTATCTTTCTAATGCCAAGACTCCACTAGAAAAGAAGATAAGAACAACATATTCTAGTCACATTAACAAAACAGGTCCAATTCTTTTATTTCCCTCTCATATTCTCCACCAAACTATATGAGTAAAGCCCCAGTCCCAGGATACAGACAGGAGAACTTGGGCCTTAAAGCTGGAATGCCTGGCCACAGATCCTGGTTCAACCTACTAGCTGTGTGATCTTTAGCATTTCCCTTAACCTCTCTGTACCTTGGTTTCTTCATCTGTTAAACCAGGATAATAATATTACCTACTCATAGGGTTGCTATAAAGATTAAATGAGTTAAAGTAAGTACTTAACATGGTTATCTGCCATATAGTAAATACTCAATATATATCAGCTATTATTAGCCCTTGTAGTCTGGATGTCATTAAGCATTCTATGGCTTTAGGACACAAGTCATAATGGATTTTGCCATGCTCCTAAATTGCAGCCTTACCTTGGCACCAGCCAGTTCCTTCATCATGAAGAGAGAATCATCGGTTCGTTCATCATCATCATCATCATAATTCGGGGAAGGAGCTCCCTCTGTTCCTTGCCTCAATAGGCTGCCACTTCCTCTAGGATCAAATGGATCTACCACAATGGGCTCAGTACCTTTAATTTCACATCGGCAGAAAGGGCAGCCTTGACCTTCTGATTCCTGCAGAGGAAGCAAAAGATGGTAACAGATGCATCAAAAAGTACTTAAAATATTTGTCTACTAGGAAATAAATTTCCTACAGATAAAAACAAATGAAAAGTTTAAACCTCCCCCACAAATCAGGTCACCCTTTATATCTTTAAAGGATACATAATAGCCAACTCTGCAGAGTGATTACATAGCTGAGAAAATGCATGGTTTGGATCCATACCTGCCAGGATGTGAGACAGGATGTGCACATGAGGTGTCCACAGGGCTCAATCTTTACATCTTTATCATTTTCGGCACATATTTTACACAGTTGGAACGTGGAGCCCATCTCACAGTATAATTCGTATTGTTCCTTTGATTAAAAAAATTAAGAGACTATTTGTTGAATGAATGAATGACTGCAATCATAAATGCTAAGAACAGGAAAATTGAAGACAGTTACTTTCTAGACAAATTTTGCTTGTATAAAAATGTCCCCACAGTGGTCAATGTTCTCCCATTAAACCAGAAAGCATCTAGTCCTGGCCCTACTTTCAACTCCATGGTTTAAAGAGAAATTATACAAATTCACTAATCTAGCCAATGGTTTGAAATTAAAGTGTTCTAATCGCTTAACTCAACTATGCTGTCAGTTCTGTAAAGTACATACAAAAGCTTGGCTCCAGTGATATGGTTATAATGTAAAACAAAATTCACCTGGGTCACTTTGATGTGGTCTTGGGGAGTCGGTTCACATAAGCCTGTCAGGTCAGGATTCTGATTTCGTCCATCAGGAAACAAATAGCTGTAAAAAGAGTAACCAACCTTGGGGTTTTATTGAAGCCAATTTATTAGTGCTTGCTAATATAGGCAAACAATAGCTAGGAGCTCCCCCATTCTACAAGAGCAATTTGTATAAGTATAAAGATAAATTTTACTAATATTTCAAAAAGATAAATAATTAAAGACAGTTCCAAGAAGATATTCTCCAAACACTGATATTCCTTCTCTAGGGAACAATGCCCCAGGCTCTTTTTTTTTTTTTTTTTTTGAGACAGAGTCTCACTCTGTT